AGAAAGAAAGAAAGAAAGAAAGAAAGAAAGAAAGAAAGAAAGCCTCAAAAGCCAAAGTACTCCAGAGACAGTCCACTTGGATTTTTCTACTAGCCTGGGTTACTTCCACTATGGGCTTCAGTGTCTGTGGAAGAAAGTGGCTGGGCTTACAACTAGGGTCAGGAATTTCAGTGGTTCAGAAAAAAAGAAAAAAAAAATCCACTAGAGAGAATCTTATTTGAGAGAGCTGAAAGAAAAAGTTCAAGACATTTGGGGACACTTTCTAATCCCTTGGGTCAAGAAGGTCAGAACCTTCCATAAAGGCCCTTGTTCTCTGCCACTGCAACCCTTCTTCACGCCCAGGAGATGGGCTTTTCTGAGCAGGAAATAGCAATAGGGTGTGGCAGGGAAGAGGTTTTCTGAAAGACATGAAGACAGGCCAGTGTGAAAGGCAGGTAGACGACCCGAGGCTGGATTTCTGAGTTCACTGTCCTACCAATAGCTGGAAGACAAGACACTAGGCACCAGGAGAACAGCAAGAGGTGAAACACTCCTGGAGCCTTTTCTTTAGCACAGGATGTAAGACTTGAGCCAAAGACAAGGACTGAAAATGACTGAGCATTTCAGTGTCTAATGTGAGAGAAGATAGTGGTACAGAGAGCCCAGACACAGTCCTGAACCTTTGGGGAAGCCAATGTAACCCCCAGAACGTAATGATTAACTATTTTGCCAGTAAGGAGTAAACAGAGGAAATTCATTACTAGTCCACATGGACATAAAATACACATATCCAACTTTAAAATATATTTATAAACTCATGGTTTTGAAGGCTAAAAACAGGCAACTATAAATGTGTTAAGATGTGATTTTCCCATACCCTAGGCCTATTTCAAAAACCAAACTCTAAAGAGAACAGCAAAGTCATAGGCAAAATAATAATACTTCATAGTAAAATAAGATTCAATTCACTTTGAAGGCTACTATTAAAAGTATTTGATATGACGATTTGGCTAAGTAAAAAATACAATTTCATTTTTAACATTACTATTCGGTCAGAAAGCCATCAGCTAGTTCATGCACTACTGATAGCCCTACCTGTGTCTTCTGGGGGCCTATATCCAGACCTTGTACAAATTTTTCCAAAAAGTTCTTGACTGCATCCCAGGGGTAAATGCTGTTTGATTCATCACACACAACCACAACATCTACGTAGGATGGGCAGCCTACACAGGAAGAGATGAAAGAAACATATTTTATGGGTAAGTCAAACTTCACATCCATATAAAAAAGTGATTTTCAGAGGGGTTGGTTAGGAATTGTTGATGTTCCCTCATTTACCTGTTTGTTTTTTGGTACTGAGACTTGAACTCAGGACCTTGCGCTTGCCAGGCAGGCACTATGCTACTGAGCTATATTCTGGCACAATATTCCCTTATTTATTTATTTATTTATTTATTTTTTGCAGAACCAGGGATTGAACTCAAGACCTTGCGCCTGCCAGGCAGGCGCTTATTCTACTGAACCGTCTCCCCACCCCCTACCCATTTAAATGCGAGGCCCCGTTCCACCTTGCAACCAGGACTCACTCTGAAGGGCAGGTACAAAGCTGGCCAAGTGCTGAAACTTGGGACTGACGTCACAGCAGACTCCGGTTGTGTAATACTGACTGCCGCACTGCTGCGCCCACAGAGGGCCGCACGCCTTTGAAGACACAGGAAAAGAGGTGAAAACCCAACGGATGCGTTTCCCCCCTTGCTCCCCATGCGTGGAACCCAGAAGTCATTGCCGTTCTTTTCTGAGATGCTAGCAACTGTCATCCGTGAACACCTGTAACTGCCTTTCATGGACAGAGTCCATTGGAGAGGGCAGATGTGATGGGGAGGCCCAGGTGGCAGAGGCCCCAGGCCGGTGGTGGGTGGCAGGGCCTGCAGAGACAATGGCGCCACGCAGGTGAGTCCAGAGGCGCCCACGGGTTCACTCGCCCAGCTAGATTAGGACTGCTTTCTTGCAGAGGTCACCACGAGGACATGCAGCGCAAAGTTAACGATTTTGTCTCTCACTTGGGCCTTGGGTATTCCTACATGGGTAAGTGGCCCATTGGACAAAGCCCTGAGGACAGTGCCAAGAAAAGAGAGAAGCTAAGGACTTGTGAGCCAGCCCTGCTCTTTCTGGCTTAATCCCAGTTCCCCGTTGACTTTCGCCCGCCCCCATCATACTCAGAAGAAAACTCAACCCAGGTGCCTCCAAGGGCCAGGCAAGAAGCCTCCAAGAGTGTCTGGGGCCTGAGCCCATACCACAGTGAACGAAGAAGCAGTTTCTTTTGTGCAGGGCCAAGCCGCTGTAACCCTGCCTACCACTGCTGTGACATGGATGCCCAAGTTTTTCTTAGAGAGTCACAGAGAGAAAATCTTGTGTGAAAATCTGCATTTCAAACCACTTCAGCTAGGTGTGGTGGCACACACCTGTAATCCCAGCACTTGGGAGGCTGAGGCAGGAGGATCGCTTAGAGTTTGAGACCAGCCTGGTCTATGTAGTGAGTTCAAGGATACCCTGAACTACACAGTGAGACTCTGTTTAAAAAAAAAAAAAAAAATTTAGAAGGCTTTCAAACACAGAAGAGAGGAGGCTCAATTTTAACTTTGCTATAAAGTGCTTACTTTGACTTCGAAAGCCCTTACTTATGCTTCCTAATGTATTTGCCTCCTGAATGGGCTTGTCTTCATCTCTTGCCCCCATCATCCACACTCCAGCTCGTAGGCTAACAAGGCCAACTCCCCCCTTGTCAGGGGCTCTTGGCTGGACGCCAAGAACTTCTGATTCAATCATGGTTGCAACATATAGGCCACATCAAGTTAAACAACATACAAACATTAGATTTTTTTTTTTTTTAAGTGGGAAAGAGAAGCCTAAGCTTTGTCTACAGAGTGTTACATTATCTAAAGCTGTGGATTGTATGTAAGACACCATGCAAACCATTGATCTCAACACGGATTATTATTAAAATGGGTCAGGAAAGTGCAGACTTATAAGAAGCAAGTGGAAAAGAAAAGGGAATGTATTTGACCCAGTTTAACTGTCAGCAGATCTGTAGTTAGAAACAGCTGTGCTCACATTTCATGCTCAGCGGAGTAAGCGCAGCTCTGCTCCTGGGAAGACAACAGCTAGGGAAAAGGGCATTATCAGGGCTGCTGGGGGGCTTTGTAAAGAGCAGAACCGATTTCTGTATCTGCATTACTATGTTTTTATATCGCCTTGAAAAATAATTCATGAAGTATTCAAGAATAGATTTCTTTTATAAGCAATGGAAAACAGCATTAAGAAGTTGAAATTAGAATATGCCAGTTGCCGATGCCAAAACATTCTTGCTTGAAGCCCAGAATTCAAGAAGGTTCAAAAAAAAAAATGTGATGATTGTCCATCTTTTCCACACAATTCTTAAAAGTATCTTAAGATTTTGACCTTTTATGTAAAGAATACACACACTCTCTCTCTCTCTGCTTGCTACACTATTAAATTAATCTCTCAAATTCTCTTATAATTTTATTTTACTTTATCCAGAATTATACACTATAATTTCCAAAGCACATTCTGCAAACCTTAATTCTCAACATATTCCTCATTATGGTTTATTCAATCTTAAAAACAAAAGCATTGTAAGATTTTGGAATATCATAAACCATGAAGTTCCATTTTAATATTCATTTATTCACTGATATAACACCTATTATAACCAATTATTTAATTTACTTAATGGTACCAAAGTTGCCTGCATACTAAGATCTACTTCAAATAGAATGACATTCTTTAAAATTTTTAGAATAATCTAGTTTTAAAGCAGGCTTTTAAGTTAACACGTTAATAGCATAGATCAAATTAATGTAAAGTTAAATAGGCTTTTTAAGACCAGAGTTATGCCAGTAGGCTGTCTCTCTGTGAGCCAGTGGAAATTTCACTTAAGACTGAGCTTTTATTTGTCTTTCAAATTTTTTTGGGGGGGTATGTGATGTTTTTCAGTTTTTATGTAGTCAAGTCTTTTCAACATTTTCCTATATTATTTCTTCTACTAGTTCTAAACTCAAATTTCTTCTACTACTTTTTCTCTCCTTCAGAAAACAATTTCTACTTCAGCCTAGCTTTTTATAACTCCCTAACTCACGGGAAGGCTTTTTGGCTGTGTGACCAATCCCCTAGTCATCCTCGGCCCTTTTGTTAATTCCATTTGATGATTTGCGAGGCTCTTCCACAGCATTTTGGAGAGTAAATGGGAATCCAACCTGACACAAGACTGTACCACGGCATAAATAAATATCCAGTTATCCAACCATCACAGAAAGTGATTAAAGACAAAGATACTTTTCAGTTCAGAAACCTAATTTCCAAGTTCACAGTGCTGAACTTGAATGCTGGCTCCTCAGGAAGCAGAGCTGAGACCTCGGATTTTGACGCTGTCAGCGGATACGAACGAAGCACACATCCCAAGGGTTCTTTTCCTCAAAACATTTGGTGCTGACAATTTTGTTGAATATCTCAGAACTCTGCATGGGAGTGGGTCTTCCGTGCTGGATATGCAAAGGGTGTCACCTACCCAGAAGGGGGCTCTGGATCAAGCTTCAAGATCTGCCTGGTGGAAGGGGCAGAGAGAGCCCTCATTGCCACTTTCTCAAGATCCACAGGGTCTGAGAGAGGCGGACACTCACCAGAAACCCTCCTGTCCCCGAGTTCCTAGTGAGGGTCAGGCCGAGGCTCATGTTGGTCTTCACCTCAGTCACATTCTGGATGCTGGTTGAAGCTGGCAGAGGGAAAAACATTTTTAAAAGAGATTAAATCTCCATTTACTTCAAGGTGTTCTAAAAAAAAAAAAAATCCAAGTGAGCACACCTACGTTTAAAAGTGGCACTGACTACAAAGTCAGATCTCCAGGAGCCCGATTATGCTAATGAAGGGTAGGGAGCTGGGATGCATTCAGCACCCCGAGACAGCCCCTTCCTTACTGAGTATGTGAGGACTCAGCAGACATAGTAGGGGCTGGACTCAGGAGAGGGGACTCAAATCCGACTATCTTATAGCGTTCTGACCAAAGGCAACATTGGAGGCCACCTCTTGAGCCTGCCTGTCGCCTCTGCTCCTTCCAAAGTTGTATCGGCTGCACTTAATACTTTCCCCCTGGATCGTTAAAACATATACTTAAATTATTAAAGAACATCACCTGATAGGATCTGGCTCAAAGCAAAGCAACATGGGTTAACTTTCAAAGGAAACCATGGGACTAAACAGGTAAAATTAAGAAAGGGTGCTCGCCAACCTTTTAGATTTCTCCTGCTGAACTATAACGCCTTGGTCACTGTGCCTGTCTGGAGCTTTGGAGCAGGGCAGTTCTCCTCAGTGCTATCTTCTCCTTGTGGCCTTTCACCTCAGTCGGGCCATCATTGCGACCACGTGTGCCTGGTAGGAGCCCTTGCTCACTTCCCAGGCTGTCTGCTATTGGTCTCCACCTCGGTCACATTCTGGATGATTTTTTTTGGCACATTCTGGATGCTGGCTAAAGAGATTTTTAATCTCTTTTAAAAATGCCTTTCCCTCAGCATCTAGAATGATTTTTTTTTTTTTTTTGGCTGGCTCAGGCTGCGTTAGGGGAGGCTCTGGTCAAGCAGGTGGAGGTGGGGATGGAACCCCGGTATCCTGCGCCAGACTGCATTTGCATGAGCAGGCACTTAAACGACTGAGTTAACCGGCAGGTCCCCCAAGGCTGTATGCTAGAAAACCTCAGTCCACCCGGTCAGCTACAGGAAAGACTAATCTCACCGTTGATGTGCGTTCATGTGGGGCTCCTTCTTAGAAATCCTACTTTTGCGTTACTTCTGCTCTGCCTAGAGAAGGAGGCATTCTTTCCAGGAATCGTTTTTCCAGGCCCTGGTGACACTAGCCGCACCATGAGTTCTGCCTTTAGCTAACCCTCACGCCCTTTCACCACCCCTTGGCGTGTCACTCTCCCCAAAATAGCACCGTCTCCCTTTTGCTCCAAGAAGCTGCTCTTAATCTTGCTGTCTATAAAGCTGTTCTCCCAGCTCTGCTTCATCATTCAACTTCTAAGATCAGGTCAGCTGTCACCCCCTGTACTTGTTTGCTACCCACCCCACTAGATTTATGATAGATAGATAGATAGATAGATAGATAGATAGATAGATAGATAAATAATTTGGTACAGGGTCTTGCTACGCAGCTCAGACTCAGTGATACTCCTGACTCAGCCTTCCCAGTGCTGGGATTATAGGAGTGCACCACCATACCTGGTTTCAGTGGCCAGCATGGTGCCCAGGGGTGGGGCCAGCACAGTGCAAGGTACCAGAGATTGAACTCCGGTCCTTGCACTTGACAGGCAGGTGCTTGGACTGCTGAGCAATCGCCCTGGCCCCTACTGGATTTATGGCCAGGGTGAATACATTACCCAAAAGATGATTTGCAAACATGCAGGAAGAAAATAATAGGGAAGCCTCTCTCATTATTATGTTTTGATTTTTTGAGTTTATTTTTAGGTAAATGAATGATTTAGAATATAATGTCAGCACATATACCTTTAAACAATACTTCAAATATATGCAATAGGGATGAGTGTCCAACAGATCAGAGAAACACATTAGAGATGTATTATAACGCTTCTGGACTGTACTGCCAAAGCATTTGAGCTTTTTTTTTCTGTTTTTAGGATGGGGTCTACAGGGTTTACAGGGTCTACGTAGATCAGACTCATAGTGATTCCCGTTTTCAGCTTCCCAAGCTCTGGGGTTACAAGCACACACCACCACAGTCTCAATCATTGTCTCAGTGTGCCCCGGGGGCGGGGCTGGGATGGCACACTGGGGATTGAACCCCAGCCTCTGCACTTTGCCTAGTCAGGTGCGTCAGTCTGCTGAGCTATCAGGCTGGCTCTGAGCGCACTTTTAATAAATGCTTATATTGTTAAAATTATTAAGTAATTTAATTCATAAGTCATTAAAGACTATCACTATACAGATATGATGAATGATCATGATGTTTGGAAATCATTAATCTCCAATTGCCTGCAACCTCCTAAGAGCACTGCAGAGCTTTGCTGAGCCCTCATAATTCAATGTCTTTAGGATGCAATTCCATTGATGTTCCTTCCAACTCACTGCAAATATGTTCACTGAGCCCCTACTATGTGCCAGAAATTGGGCTAGAAATTAACTATTCAGAAATATGTAAGAAAGACCTCTGCCCTTGTTTGACGATTTTTTTTTTTCTTTCTCTGGAACTCAAACCCAGGGCCTCTCACGTGCTACACAAGTGCTGTTAAAAGCAACGTCCTAGCTCCAGCTCTGAGTGTCATTGTTGAAACTCTTCTTTGATTTCACAATACTGGATGCTTCCATTCCTCAGAAGAGCTCCATGACATCAGAATTCCTTTAAATGCCAGTGCTGGCAGGATGATGGCCAACTTGAGTGACTTCCTGTTTAGCTACACTAGAAGACAGTGTGTGGGTCATCATTTAACTATCGGTTCAGTCACCTTTAATAATTTTTTGCATTATAATAGAAAGCACCTGACATGTGGATGATTAAAGAGCAAATACTTCAAAGCTGTGAGCTTTTCAAAAATGAGAATGCAATCAATTAGACATACTCTACAACACAAAGTGCTTCTCAGCACCTCCAAACTCAGCCCAAGAGCTAACGTTTCTGTACCCAATGTTTTGTTTTGGCAAGTGGGGAGACAGAAATAGAGTCCCAGATTTCTGCAAACAATTGGCAAAATAATCCTGACACTGAGAGAAATGTGTCCACAGTTGGGGCTCAGTTGCTCCAGGAAGTACAACTTTTCCTGGGAACCCTGTTAAGCCAGCGCTTCAAGCTGCTTAGGAAGTGTGGATTTCGTTAGATGCCATAGGATTTAAAGGATAAAGGCAAAAATATAGAAAATACCTCTGACATTACTTTAAGATAGAAGACTGGTGCTACTGTTACTTTTCAGTGGCGTGTATGACAAATGAGACCCAGCTATTTGCTAGCAGTCATACTGGCAACGAGCACTTACTCTGCAGGTTTAGTTTCTCACATGTAGTGGTGGACAGGTCAACCGGGCACTTGTACACATCCCCCATTCTGTTCTCCGGAAAGCCACTCCAAGGCGAGCCAACCAGTATCCTAGAAACAGGGTTTAAAAAATTAGTCATGGCATGTAGGGCTATAGCTCATATGTGAAGGGTATCTTCTTTTAATTTCTTATTCACTCAGTTATAATTTGTTCTGCTTCCCTTCCTCTCAGCCGATCATCACCCTCCATGAACACCTACGATGTGGCTAATCCCACCCACTCTGGGAGCCTCACCAATGAGTGCTGCTCAAGAGAAACACAAACGCCAGCCACTATGTAATTGTAAATGTTATAGAACCAACCACATTGATAAAATAAAAAGCAACAGGTAAATCAGGTTTACTAACATATTTTATTTAATAATATATCCAAGCTAGCATGCAGTCAGCATAAAATTTATAAATGAGCTATTTTGATTCCTTTTTCCCTACTAAGTCCTAGTAATTCAGTCCTTTTTTTTTTTTTTTTTTTTTTTGGTGAAACCGGGGATTGAACTCAGGCCCTTGCACTTGCCAGGGAAG